ACTAATTTATACAGGAGTATTACCATCAGAATGTAACTATCATTTCTAGTTTGTGTAAGATTGTTTATAAAATTGAACTTATAGTTTTTCAAGAATTATTTTTTTTTCAAATGCTACCAACTTTGCTGAAGATAATAGATGGAATAATTGCAGCTCTTTGTCATAAGGTATGTCTTTTAGTATTGTTCATCTCTGTATTCCATGTGTAACTGTGACATCTTCATAAATTATATTTCAGTCCGAAATTTCTCAGTGACTCAGTTTATTATTATGTTTATCTTTCTAAATCAACTTGTTTTTAGTGGACCAGTCATACTCAATATAGAGCTCTGTCTGCAGCATATTCCACAAAGTGGTTTTGGGAGGGGATTTATCGTCGTAAGTACAAAAGTTTGGTAAAATAACATATTTATTATTTTTGATCATCGCTTATTCGCTTTCGTTACCATCCTATTTTACATCCAGGCCAGGTTGACTATTGAAAAACCAACTATGAGTGCTGTGTACCATGGCAATCACTGGACTCTAATGGTGAGTAAATTGCTAGATCTCTGTTAATTCAAATGAATTTTTTTTTGCAAAATTTTCTTTTCAATTGCAATTACAAAATGTTTTAATATATAACGTCAAAACAAATATGGCATATTCTGTATTGTATTGCTCTTCCAACCAGAAATTCTCCTACTCTTGTGAACAAAGTTTCATGTTTCCAGATTACAGATCAATCTCAAGGGAGTGTCACTATTTACGATCCTGTTGGCCATGAAGAGACTTATGCTGAAACGCTGATGGAGAATTGGAGGTTTGTGGTTTTCTGCTTGACTAAATAACTGTTGGCTTGTAGACACTCACAGATTCATTTTAAATTATCCTGCCCTTATTGAGTTCAACGATAGAACATCACTGTTTTAGTCATGCATTCAAATCTCTACTAGTGTTATCTGAATTTTAAAACATCAAAAACAGATTACCGAAACTGTATGGATCGTACGAGTTTTTTGCACTGAGATTGCAAGCTAGGTATGAAAGCTCATATTACCAAGAATATGCAGTTCTTAGAACACTTTTACCAAACACACTGTTAACAAACTAGCATAGTGAACAAGAAGATGGGTTTAATTGTGGAATTTTGGTTGTGAAGGTACATTGGGTCCAATTTGTTTTTATATCGGTAATATTAAACTGCTTAGGATGCACACATGCTCATTACGGTAGATCTTTAAATTTATATTTGTGAGTAAACATTTACTAGTAGTACTATATATTGATACCACCACCATTCAACTTGAACCTTATTTTCAAATCATCTCATAGGTGCAAATCTATAGAAATATGAGTTGTTTTATTTTTTTACATTCTAGGCTGCCGAAGCAATTTTAACAGGATGTACAACAGATTTTGATCATTCGACAGGCATCTGTAAAGTTTACAGAATCCATTTTGGATACCTTCTGTTGGAAGCCACAGGTGCATTATTATTTTATTAACTAGGTCTAAGCATAAGTCATTTTTATTCAAGCGTGGAGAGCAGTGCTGGAAGTCAAGTAACAACAAGCACGATAACATCTGTGCGGTCACGGATATGTTGGTAACACACAGCTATATTTTGATGATATTTAGAACTTTCTTTTGAACATGGCTGAATAGGTTAAAACTCAGGGCAACAACAAACCCTTATGTTGGGTAATTTATGGGGGCAACACTCTCTCTCTTTTATATTGCATGCAATCCATTCCTTGTTTTCACGGATTGCCCTCACCCACCACTACACCCCTAAAACGAGAGAGACTGGCATGTTTTTATTTAAAGTTAAAAGTTGTCTGTCTGTATTGGCAAATCAGAAACGAAGAGAGCAAATAATATTTGGTTACTGCATATAATTAATGCCACTGGTTATAATTTGTCCCTGAAAAAATGGATGTAGTGCCACATTTTAAAATACTTCCATAGCCCGTTTTCTTACAAAGAGTGGCTTTTTCGGGGTAAATGGGAAGAAAAAACATTCAAGTGGTACCGGTACGCAGTAAGTAGAAGGTTGAGAACCACTACTGTAGATGAATCGCCTTGCAGAGTAAATGCAATTTTAATCAAGCTCAAACGACACAATTTTACTCTGGTAGTACTGCGATCTAATTTGAATCAATATGACTAAAAACGACACAGCGCAAATGATATACAACATTATTTATTGCCAGAGGAAGTAATGGCACCCTACTTCCAACCAGAGTTGGATCAATTACACTAATTCAGTTCAATTACAATTACAAATACTCCCTTAAATGTTTCAATTACATTACAATTACTCCGTGCAAAAAATATCAAATTGCATTTACAATTATAACATTTTGGTTCGTATTTACATTTTCCCTTGCTCAAGAACTGTTGGATTGCACTTGATGAAGATTAGGCTGCGAGAAGTTTCTAAACCCAATAAATTTCTTCATGCTGTATAAAAGTTACCCGCAATTGAAAAAACTCTTTCTGACGGGGCTGATGTTGCTGTTATTCCCAAATAATCTTTGGCTAAAGAAGCAAGCGTGGGAAATTTTTCTGATTTCTTCTTCCAATACATTAATTGGTCTTCATCAAATTGAAAAATTTCTTCCCCCAAATAGCTATCTACTCCACTTTCTGATTTTCCTGGTCCTTTTTCTATTTATAGATATAGATGGGGAGAACATCTCTTTAAGTGCGTTTGACGAAGCCTTTTTTGAAGTTGTTACAGCCTGCCTCAGTGCTGCTCAAAGATTTAAAAAACTCTGACAATGGTGCAAGAAGCGCGGTTTAACGCATGTTTCGGAAGAGTTTGTTTGATGTTCATCCATTTTCAAAATACTAGGATTTAGTCTAATTGAAAGTGTAATTGAGCCAGAATTTTAGCATATTACCGTTACGATTACACAGAATGAAACTGCCTCCATTCAGGCATTTCATTACAATTACATAAAAAACTGTAAATATTAACATCAATTACGAAAGATTCAACTCTGCTTCCAACTGCACCCTACTTCAAAGCAATATACACCCAAGGCTGAATTCATTTGTAACGCCAAATCATTTCCTTATTACTTTTGAATGCAAACAAATTAACAAACAACACCGAATGCTAATCTCGCTTCTTCAGTTGACGGCAGCAACCAACTTGTCGCCGCGCTCCCCGTTATCATGCCGTGGTAATATGCAATTACCCACAAGGCTCCCCGCTATCTTCCACTGTTCATGGCGAGAAATCTTTCGCTGCCACAGGTTATTCCTAATTGCCGTAACCGCGGCAGCTCTTGCCGTGGTTACGGCAGCGTAACTACGGTTCATGGCAGTATAATTTCACCTGCCATGGTTTTCAATTTGCTGCCGTGGTACCCCGCCTCACGCCATTGTTTGTGGCAGCTGGAAAGTCAGCCGCCGTAGTTTGGTCATTGTGGCCATGGTTTAGAAATCCCGCCGTGGTTTGGTCATTGTTGCCATGGTTTAGAAATCCCGCCATGGTTTTGCGGCAGCTTCAGCTGCCGCGAAATACATAAAACTGCACTTGATTTCGTATGCTGCAGTTAATTCATTTGTTTAACCGAGTTCAGCTAACATGTGTGATTTACTTTCCCATTTTAAAGGAAAACCAGGCAGTGATAAGGAGGAGGAGTTAACCTTTTACCTTTATCTTTTAGACCTACATGTTTATAAACTTTAAAAGGCATAAACAACACATTAAGAATCACAAAATTGTGTTTTATTTAGATTAGGTGCGCCGTGAGTTTTTCCTGATAAATTTGCGCCACACGAACTGCTGCCTCGCGCTAAATTTGATCATTAAGAGTGAGTAACAACGCCGTCAGTGGCCAAACATCGCAATTAATTATAATTGTAGCCTGCATTAACAAACAGCGACCTACGACTGGACTTGCTACACGGCAAAAAGCAGTCGCGCTGATCACAATGTTGAGTGAGGTTCATCTGAATAAATGTGTTTTTTTTATCAAATATGCCCACTAAAAGAAGAAAATTCAATGTGTCATTAAAATATCAAACATGCATTATTGCATACAAATCTTGGCACAATTTCTACCATTTTTCATGTAGGCGAGAGAGATTTGAACTTATTTCGAAAACATGTCTTTTCATGAAGCTTTACACTTGATTGGCAGTCCGGTTGCGTGGCTCATCGTGCTAAGCGTTAGGAATACGCTCGCCATCGCACTCCTGATTACTCTGCGTGGGTTCGCAGGTTCGAATCCCATGCAGGGATGGTTATGAGCGAGAGGATCCCCGGGATAAATATGTTGTAAATCCTATCTTGTCCTAATTTGATCGCACACAAGTTAATATAGTTGATATAAAATAAATGGAAGTTCTGGGAGAGAAGGTTTTTTGCGATATTCAGGGAGTTGAAATCACAATTGAAAAAAATATATATTTGAATGACCAGCAAAATATAAAAATGGTCATACTAATTAAAATGAAAAATTGACAGCTATGGAACGTTCGATAGTCAATATGGCTGGTGAGAATATTCATGAAACTTTTATAATCACTGATTCCTTTATATATAAGGTTCTTATCTTCGGGAATATCAATCATCACCCAGGTGTTCTTCTCAGAAACACTTGATTAATTCAAAATATATAACTCGAAGTACGGGTATTCAGATTACAATAGTAGCAAAGTGCATAGGGAACACATGTAACTCACTGATACAGCATTAAAAACAATTAGGATGCGTATTTTGGAATAAAAAATACATAAAATTTAAATTTATGATGTCCAGACGAGAATTTACTTTGACATATAACTCACTACTTTCAACAACAAAAAAATGCATATTTGAGAATAAAACTAGTAACTTCATTACAGGCATATGGGAATTGAAAAGTAATTTAGTTTACTTGAAAAATATTATGCTTATGGTGTGGCAGATGTTGAAATCCCATATTTTTACACATTTCAGCATTTTAGTTTAACCTTAGACTGAATTATGTCGCACCAATAACAACATTGTTTTATCTAGCAATTTTTTTTTATCCTGATGCATTCAATCTAGTTCGTCAATAACCGCCCTAATTGGAGTTCAGTTCATGTCGAACTAGAAAGCCTCTTCCAAATCAACTAGTAACTCCCTCTAATATGATATATTGTTATTGTATGAGGAAACAGAATATACACAAGAAATTTAACAAACAGTGGACACAAAAATCAGAAATAAAAACTTCCTTTTTGCAAACTGAATTAAAGGGTTTCAGGAAGTACTTTAAAAAATCAATGAATGTAAAATAGGATTTTATATTTATCCCAGTACTTAATAATGGAGCCTAACAGTAGAATATTTCAAACTAATCCCCAAGTAGTCCTCCCCATAGTGCAGTGGTTCCCAACCTTTTTCATTAAATTCAATATTCAATGGACCCTTAGCTCAGTAGAAATTGTTATGGCAAATCGCACTCTAGCTTTTGTACAAATCAAGTAGTTTACAATGTGGTATTATAGTAATGAACAAACCTCAAGAATGGTATAATTCCGCAGCAAGTGCAAGGCAAAATTCCTTCCCAAGACCTACAAAATTTTCAGGGTTGGGAACTTTGCCGTAGTGAGTTTAAATGCTGGGAAGCAAGGCTTTTCACAATATTCAGGGCTCTAATTTGGCGCAGCGGTGTGGCTCATCATGCTAAGCGTTAGGAATACGCTCGCCACCGCACCTCTGATTACTCTGCGTGGGTTCGCAGATTCGAATCCCATGTGGGAATGGTTATGTGTGAGAGAATTGCTGAATTTCTTGCCGTCGTAGGGTGGTTCACGTAGCCATTGGTCATTTATAGCTTCCTCTATTATCAAGTCCATGCTTCCAAAAACAAATAACTAACTAATCCCATAACCGACATAGAATGATAACTGGACAAGAGGCCGTGCTAAGCCATATGGTTGAGCAGTCTTATTGCTTTCCTCTCCCCCGAGATAAATATGTAAATCCTATCCTAATTTGATCACACACAAATTAATATGAGTTGATATAAAAATGTTGGCAGTACGGGGAGAGGAAGGGTTTTTGCGATATACAGGGACTGAGTTCAAATTACAATTTGAACAGAAAGAATATTTGATTGATTTGCAAAATACAAAATATAAAAATCAAGTGCCCCGATAAATGGGAATAAAATAATTAGAAGCTGTGGAACGTTCGAAAGTCAATATGTTGGGTGCGAATATTCATATGACATTTATTTTCACTGAGTCCCCTATATTAAGGTTCATATCTTCGGGAATGTCAACCATCACCCAAGTTTTCTTTTCAGAATTGTATTTCTCCATGGTTTGGCTTGAACTGAAAGAGAAATAAGAACATAAATAAGCTACAATACTATACATAACTACAGGCTTCCAAATCTGTTAAGACTCGTGAGAAAGACTAATTTTTTAACGATTTGCCATTGCCAAACCCATATGTGGTTCTCAAATGGTGGGGGCGCCCCACAATCGCGTAGAGGGGGTATGGAACTAATTGAAAATAAAACTATTTGTTAGATTTGATCTCCTTATTTTAGATATTTAAACTTCTTCATTTAGGACAGGAGTGAACAACCTTTTTGCTATTGGCGGCCACATTGCATTTATTTTGATACAATACGGCCGCCAGGAGGTTGCGAAATTTTTTGGCTTTATGACATCATAACCGCGTATTTGAATAATATTCGCATTTTAAAAGGATTTTTTTTTCGGTGGACCTATTCTAGAGCAGAAATATTCAGCAAGTTGCATAATGGTTGCACAATTTTGAAAAAAATCGAAAGTCGGGAGGGGCGGTCGCCCACATTTTCTTGTCCCCAAAAGTATAATAAAATGTCAAATATTTTTATGAATTTATTCTATAAAAGTTTGCAAAGAATTGTAGCAATTCAATGACTCCTTTGGTCTTGCATGTGGGCAGATAAACTTGCAAAGTGAGGTAACTGGCAGCAAATACACCATCTAGATTGTGACGCATCGTGTCGTCTGACTTTTTTCCAGTGCTTCTGTTTTGCTTCAATATACGCCAGCATATCCGCCAAATCCTATATTTTGAACTTTTTTTCATAGGATTTTGTATGTGGACGGCCGCATTTTTTTTCGCGATGGCCGCAGGTTGTGCACCGTTGATTTAGGATATTTAGGTTCCCTCCAAATATTTTCAACATGATTTTTGGAAAATACAAACTTTTGCTCATTATCTGTTATTTGTAGCTTGTGATTAGCTAGTTATTTTTGAGGGGAGGGGGGGGGGTGCACAAGACTAGACGATTCTGAAAAGATGGCGTGACTTAAAAAGTTTGTGAACCATCGGTATAAAGCATTCTGGGTAAATCATAGATTTGAGTGTTGGATTTTATGTTGGATTTAAATAAACAGCAGTGGGAGTCATGATTTAGGAACAAAACTTCATGGTAGGGGAATTTGCTGAGCATCAATTTGCTAATGTATTCGAACCAGCCATAAGGTATTTGTTAATCATATTAAAAGCAATATATTCCAGTATTGCTATATATTGGCCCGGCAATTTGAAACACCGTGCTAAGCTTTAGGAATACTCTGGCCATCGCACCTCTGATTACCCTGTGAAAATTCGAAAGTTCGAATTCTGTGGGGGGAGTTTATGTGCGTGGGAAATGCTGAACTCCTCGTCATTGTAGGGCGGTTACAGTCCTTGGTGTAAATCCAAATTATATAATACAGCCCGTTGCCCAAAACGCACTAGAGTGTTTTATTACTGGAAACAAAGCACTCTATATGTGCGATTTGACAAGTTGAAAGGTTTAAATGTAGTTTTTTGACTCTTTATTCGCAGTAGAATAAAACTAAAAAAATTAGGGAATTTTTATAAAGGGTAGGTATAATGTTGTGTAAAAGTAATTAAAGACAGAAATAGACCTGAAAATAATAAACCATGTCCCTATTCGATGTGGAGTATGTTTCAATTTCAAAAGCTGCTGTGAGGAATTTTTGAGGCACATCAAGGATTTTTTGCCTTCTGGACGACCTGGTTGCGTCCGTCATGCAGGAGGAGGTTAAAATTGGATCCGCTATGTGTGAAACAAGCTGCATACATTTCTGAAGTTATTGCAACCTCCATCACGAATGATCATGAGTATTTCATATCTGAGGACTAAATACTATATAATATATTAACATAACAATACATACTTATAATATCCACCAACTGCATAAATGTTCCCGTTGAAAACAAAGCTTCTGAAGCGAAATCCAGCCGATATCATCGGTGCAAACATGGTCCAGGAATTGGATGATGGATCGTATGTTTCAACAGTTTTCAGAACCTGCCCCCCATTGCATCCACCTTGTATACAAAAAGTAAAAGTGTGTTAATATCTGTACAAAGCTAAATCATTCATTTGTAAGCCAAACATCCAAAATATCAGCTTTTGCATGTACTCAGAAGATATATCTCATGAAACATAGGTTTAGATATAAATTTAGTCCGTATGTGACTGGGGAGTTGGATGAATATTTTTGTGTGAATATCAGCACTAAGCTAAATCATACACTTGAAAATGCAACATCCAAAATATCAGCTTTTGCATGTCTTCAGAAGATATATCTCATAAATCATAGGTTTAGATATAAATTTAGTCCATATGTGACTGGGGAGTTGGATGAATATTTTTGTGCGAATATCAGCACTGAGCTAATAGATCTAAAATACCAAGGTATAAGATTAATAAAAATCACCTGCTTTAGTAATATATTTATGAAAACATGCCTGTTTTTATTTTGTCACATAAAATTTATTGCATGTGCAAGCAATTTTGATTTTAGCAAAAACTTACCAATTTATTGCTTTTCAAATCATATATTAGCAAGAAGTGTCATAAAGCATCAACTTATATTTATGCAATTGTTATGAATTGAATCTAATATTTTGTCTAAAATACAGTTATCCATTATTTTTATTAAAAAAAAATTACCATTTGACTTTTTAATAATTTTTTATCCTTTAACATGTCATTCAAAAGGGCACAAAATAAATCAGATGTGACTGGGAAGTAAAAAATTTCTGGATATCACTAATACCACCATAAAAAAATAACTATTTTACGACTCTGACCTATAACTCTATCACCTTTGTCTGAAGTTTAAAAAAATAAACCTACAATTTCATAAAATTTGTGTATTTTAAAAATATTCGGCAATCCCAAATTACCTTTTATCTGCGCAATTGCCTATAATAATTTTCCAATATGTACAATCCCATATTATGTTGAATTTTTAAAATAAAAGCATGTGTCATGTTTTTGTTGTGTAATATTAATTAGTAATGAAGTTTAATCTAATCCATAAGATGATTTTATATAAAGTAAAATTATCAACTGCCAGATAGAGAAGATGAAGTGAATTGGGTGGGATGAGTAAAACTGAGATGTTCGATCTCAAACCTAGAAGACCAATCTAAACCATTTTTAGCATGAAAAGCTTAGTCGGTATTTAATCATCTTGTCATCAAGTTGGGTGACAGCATGATACAGCAATACATTTTTACTATCCTTACTCTGTTTCCTTGTCAAGAGACATCAAATACACCTTTTTCTCATTATTAAGTATTGTTTGAAAAGGAATGGAAATTCTTTACTTATTCACAGTAATTTGGACGTTTTTCAATAAATATAGATTTTACTACATCAGAACTAGTTCAATTTCATCATTACTTGTGGCTCTCGTTATCACTGTGTAGTGAATACAAAATGAAAAAGCACACACTGGTAGGATAAATCAAAGGCGCTTTGCAATGTTAAATTTTTAAGCTCTACACAACTCTGTCTGTTAGTATAAAACTTGAGAATTGAATCATTTTGGTGAAACAATTTGAACTTTATGTTATCTAGACTTGAATGAACTTATACAACTCACCAAGCACATAAAGTCGATCCTGAAATTCCACAGCCGCAGGTTCACCTCTTGCACTCAGCATTGGTGAAAAGAAAGTCCATGTTGACGTATTTATATTGAAGCATTCTGCTCTGTTGGTTGCACTTGATCCTTTATGTCCTCCCAAACTATAAATGCTTCCTGCAATTGCAAAAAAAAATTCTGGCTCCTAGCATAACAGCAGCACACAATATTTTAAATGAAAAGGTGTAATATCTGATGTAATTTCTTAAAGTTTGTTCAAAGAAATATATCAACCCCTGTTCAAAATGAAAAGCTTGATCAATAACAAAGTATTCGTTTTAAATACTAGCTTCATGAAGTAACATACATCGGTAGTTGAAAATAAATAGTTCTCAATTGATGTTTGACTACAGATTTGTTTGAATACAGAAACATTTTTGCTACAAGAAATAATGGAAATAATTTTAGTTAGTTTCAAACTACCATAATTATTAACAAAAAGTGTACCAAAACCACAATAATTATCTCTCATGTTGAATGTTTAAGAAGCAGTTGTGCTCTTTTGGTGTTCTCACTCCATGGTGCACTCTGGTATTCAAGCACTGAATTTTTGTTTGAGTACCGCAGCATTTTTGGCTATTGATCTCACAAACTTTATAGGAATGTTTCAAATTAAAGCCGTTTTACACTCTAATATAAAACATTTGGTAAGAAAAAAATTTGGATTGTTAGACTATATCGAGCAATAATCCGGCTTCGCTACGGTTGCTAAGTATATGAAATATGGGGAAAATTAACTAGGTGGACGCCATGTATCCACACATGGAAAATTAATATTTATCACTTGGCAGCACTTCTTGTGTTAAATGGTTCCGACGATCTCATATCAGGCGTGATTTAATATTTATCTTAAATTACATTGATAATGAACTTAAAAAACGAAAATACTTTTCACTTTTTCACTATAAGTGATTATGTTCTGCGACGTGACTAACGTGCTAAGCATTAGGAATAAACTCGTCATCGCACTTCTGATTAGCCTGTGTGGGTTTGCAGGTCCGAATCTCATGTAGGAATAATTTTATGCGAGAGGATTGCTGGACTTCTCACCATCGTAGGGTGGTTTGCGAAATTGCTGGTCGATTACGGCTTCCTCCACCATCAAGTCCATGAATCTGAAAGCAAAATATGTGACTAACTAATCCCAAACCCGAGATGAACTATTAAGCTGACAAGAGGCCTTAGCGGCCTCTCCCCCAGGATAAATATGTAAGTCCCATCCTAAATGTTATAATATATATATTCTTTCCAAGGGTTCTTGCATTGAAATTTAATTTTATCAAAAAAGCTACCATTCCAACATAGCCTATTGATGTTTGCATTCTTCTATTAGACAGCAATCATTAAAAAATATATTTTTTCAGCCAACTCAGAATATTTAGTCTGTAGACGGCACTTCACTTTATTCAGTTTTAAACAGTCATTTGATGGGATTTTTCAACAAAAAAAATATATCTCCATCAGCATGTTAAGTACATTTAATAAAAAATGTTTATTCTATTCTTTATCTTTTTTCGTCATTAGAACTTCACTAGTTTTGAAAACTTTACTGATTTGAAGACAACTTACCTTGCATGCAAATGACTGCAGGACCATTAGATTCAACATTCTTGCTCATCATCTTTGTCCACTGGTTTCTCAGAGAATCATATTTTTCCACTGTTGTTGTGCTAGATAGACCACATCCACCAACAATCCAGATCTCACCTGATATGTGAATAGAACCTCAATTTGGATATTTTTGGATGAATTTTTTTTTCAAGTATGAATATATTAATGTGGAGGCATAATAATATTAAGGTGGTGTTGAAATAACGATAAGGGCATTGCCAACCTCTCATCGTGGTGGGATTCAAATTTTTAATACTCAACGCAGCGGTCGAAATTCATCTGCTCTATCTGGATCGAGACTTCTACGAGTTCACAGTAGAGGTGGGGGTGATGGCCTCATGAGTCGCTCAAGTTTGTAAAAGAGGGTTCTTGGGTTCAAGGCCGTATTAATTCAGTTAGAAGCCCATGACCTTCATGTTCAAACTTAGTATGACGGATGGTACAATATTTATTTTTCAAGATGTTGTATTACATCATTATGGACAAGGGATCACAACAATATCCAGAGGCCTGACAGGTTTGTAATTGTACCCGTGCTAGTTAAACAATAACACAGATAAAATTGGATTCAACCCAACATGTAATAATTTCGAAGTAAGCTTACGAAGTATGTAAACCAGAACGTAGTATGTGTACCAGGTTAAGGTAAGGCCATAATTTTGATACAATTTTCTTTATTTTAGTTCTATTACGAGGTCGAAGACTAGCCAGTTGACTCCCATAGTATTTGGACCTGAAATTATGGCCTAACCCTATCCTGGCACACATAATACATTTCGGTGTCCGCCATCTTGGTTTGCATACTTTGGAAGTACCAAAATTTAATTGTCATATTACATTAAAATTAATCATATTGGAAATGAATTTTATTCTTGGATTAGCTGGAAAGAACCCTCTGTTTATTTTCAATGCTATTTGTTTACAATAGAAGCCAATGAAATACCGTTACTTTACTGCACAGAGAGTTGGGTTTATCGCTCCACTCTAATTCAAGACTTTATGATTACTCAAATTGGAAAGTCAATTCACCTACAATGGAAACGTAATATGCTGACATTATGAATATTTTAAATTTGTGTTAAGTGCCAGAAAATGGTTTGAACAAATTTCACTCAAGTATTTTGCCAACCTCTGATATTACAGATACTTTATAAACAATGTATCTAAGACATGCCATGCTTTAACCTTAGTTGATTAATAAATCAAAAGCTAAATTTAGTCATTGACACCAAATTATATAGATTTGGTAAGAAACCTTAAAAATGCTTTAAATTTGTGATTACTTCAGACAAAATATTGAAATATAGATTATTTATACACTGAACATAAAAAGTAGTAAATATTTGGAAAAGTCTGGAAAAACATTAGTATTTGGTAATATGAATTGAAATAAAGAATTATTCAACCAAACGTCATTAGTTGAGGTATATACACTACTAACCATCAACCAAAGTCATTGGTGGGTAATAGCCATGATCTTCCAACGGACTCTTCAATTCCTCCCATGTAGCATTAACATCGACATATCTGAGTCGATAGAATGAGGTTCCTCCAACTAAGGCGTAAATATGCTGATTCAGTGCAATAGCAGAGAGGTATACTGACTCCATGTCTTCATTCATTTTCTATATAAAGAAAGAGTTTTCTGAGTTTCAGCTCATTACATGACACATATACAGAATGGGAGTTTGAGATTCCTGGGAACTCTACTGAGATCTAAGTTCGTGTTGCAAGTTAAACATCTATGGTTCAAACCTGATGACTATCACCAGGGATGTCAGTTTCGAATATTTTATTTTCGATTCAAATCAGAATGTGCCGATTTGTTTATTTACCACTCTAACTCTATTTATCTACCGATGGTGTAAGATAATCGTTAATTAATGCCGATTTTTGACCTTCCAAAATGGTAGCAGCAGTGTTTGTATCGAAGGCTTGTTTATAACCTTCTTCAGAGCAACGGTGAGGGTAACACCCCATGAAAAGTCATATTTTATGTCAAAATGAAGTCAAGTCTTTCTGAGCTGCAAACAAACTCAATGCATTGGGAGATAAATATCATCCCTCATAATTCGGCCATTTCCTGTGTTGCAAAAATTGGTTAGATGTCAACCTGCCAGAACAATTAGAAGGTTTCATTGGGGCATGAAGCCTCATTTTATATATTCAGCAAATATCAGCCATTAACGAAAGGTGACTGCAAAGGAATTAGTTCTCCACTACAATAAGCCCATTTGCAATGATGTTTGCAAAGATTGTGACCTTCCATGAGCTAGAAAGATTTTCCAGTGTGGTCAGTTAGTCATGCAAAGCTGATGATGCTTACCTGCATTTGCTTCCATTCATTTGACCTTGGATTGAACTGTTGGAGATGGAAAGAGGTTTCGTCAAAAACGACTAACGCATCGTCTAAAATATAAAAAAAACTTATTATGCTTCAGCCATATAGAGCAGGTATAATTATTAAATTCATGCTGTAGTTATTATCCTTGCAATATATTTTTCAATATTGCCTGAAACCTCTGTTGTCCACCCTATCCAAAATTGGGCAGAAGCCAGTATATCAAAATGTGTTCAGTTTCATTTAATAATCGCGTCAAACTGGGAAAATTACAGTTCTATTTAAACTGATGATCTTCCATGTAAAGAGCCTTGTGAATATTTGAATCTCAGGTAATTGAAATAAACCTTTTTTTTTAAATGAGTGAACAAAAATAAATATGAATATCTGATATGACAATATAAAAAGAAATATTTTGTGTTGGAATGAATTGAAAAAAGCCAATATATCACAATGACCAAAACATCATTATAAGAAATTAGAATAATATAAATAGAGCAATTCATGTATGTTCCAAGTTACCTTCAGAATCTGATGCAGCAGTCTTACTACCGAAAAACGAAAGTGCTATTATCTTGAGTACTTCAGCATTCGAACCAATCAGGCTCTAAAGATAGTTAAATAAATAATCAAATAGCAGGATGTAAAATGTTGTTTGACCACTTGGCACCCCTTGGTGATTGTGCAATCTTTCACTAGCGCATTTCACCAACTAAATGTGGAAATTGAATACCTAATTTATTGTACTTGACCCCCAACTTATGAGTTTGATTGCCACATGACAGATTTTATTATCCCTCCATATACCAATACACCTAAGTAAATACGAACCCCTGAGATACAAATAGATTCGTGGAATTTTGGCATCGCAAACACTCAGGACTTGGCCTTTGTCCCACATCAAGCATTATGCAAACGTCTAGAATATTATGAAACCTTACCGTACTAAATACAGATATTGCATACACGAGTGTTTGAATAGGGATGCAAATGACAAAAGACTTACATCTTGCTCCAGAAGATTTCTGCGATTTGAAAGCGACATCTTAGTCAAATCCAGTTGCTTGAAAGATCTGACAAACTGCTTTGAACGTTTCTTCTCATCAAATTTTGTCCAATTCATCAAAGCCAAGCACTTTTCTTCTTCAGTTGCCTAAAATGAATGAGATTTCCCTGAATATCAAACCCGTTATAGGGCTGCCATATAGATAACTACAGAGTTAACAATTTAGGTGGATGGAAGACTGCATTTCCATATCTATAATATTGAAACGCAAATCCATAGATCACGGACTAACTTCTTAAGTAAATACTACCGTATTTTCTCGAATATACGCCTATCACGCGGATAAGCCGACTCCCTAATAACAGCTTCGAAATAGTGAATTTATAAAAATTCGCATATACGCCGTTTCCACAAATCGTAACACGCGCACGCATCTATTACAGTCAATGATGTTCAATTCAAATTTAATATTCAAATATCGCGATTCGCTACCTTCTTGTATATGGCACACACATTCTAGCGCTGCTGTCCACATTTCGATTAAAACAATTTTCGATTATATTTTCTGTTTTATCGTAATGGAAGACAGCACTTTGCGGCACAACTAAATTACTGCCAACATGAAAGGAATCAAATCAGCGCCGACTTGAAGTACCAAACGTATAACATGAGGACATTTTTGATTGAAAATATTTTACAATCATTATTTATATTAAGGTAGTCGAGATATCCTGAGCGGACACGGCAATAAATTTGGTTATTTTTCGCAAGTATTCTCAAACATGATTTGTGTGAGCTTCATATATGGGCTGATATATTTTATAATGTATGCCAAAGTGTCTGCCGATTATTTAATTGACTTTGTATACCAGCTGTTATTTGTTTTAATCCTAAAAACAAAAACGTGGCCGGTGCAATGAAGCACTCCCTGCCCGATAACGGCACTTCAGAAAGAAAACGGCTACCACGAAATAAAGTGATTGATTTATGACCCTTCCGTTTTGCTGATTCAGGAAATAACCGAAAACACAGCTGTTGCCTAACCCATGGACGTACAGCACAGTATTTATCACATCATATTCATATGTTATTTCAACTCTTCAGTTACCGTAAATGGTTGTTCAAAATGATTGAAATTACAGTTTTATTGTTAGGAATTAATGCTGTGAGTATTATTCTACCTGAAACTTCTATCTGATTCTTACTTGTGCACAAATGATAACGTTTTGACCACGAGACGGCTGGTAGATCAATGCTGTTGCTCTTATGCAAAAGATACAATTAAATTTAATCAAATACAAGCGGTCACGTTAATGATCAGACAATCACACCTAGACAAGCGATCGCGTGTGTGGTGTGTGCGTGCACGCTCTTTATCGTGAGAATTAAGCATGGTCTGTAGCTGTTGCAATTACCGGCAAGTCAGCATTATATCATTTCGTTGCGTGATCAAAGTCTCGATGCGCGAAGGAGCCGATTTTTTGGTGCTATCTGAGTTATGCGCGCATAAGACGGTCTCTTAGTTGGGCAACTTTTTTTTTGAGTTTTAAACTCGGCCTATACGCGATCATATACGGTAAATACTTCTTAAGTAAAGAGATGAGGCCTGTGAAAACAGTCTTTTATTGGCCAAGTAAACATGAGCCTGGCTAGGCGGACTGGCGCACCGTGCTAAGCATCAGAAATATACGCTTGCGGCACCTATGATCAACCTGTGTTGGTTCGCAGTTTTGAATCTATTGGGGGGTAATAATGTGGGAGAGAATTGCTGGACTCGTCTCCCTCGGAATAAATATGTAAATCCTATCCAATAGTGCTACGCATTTATAATAAAGTTTAATTTCAATCAAAGTGTGACTGAAACACTAAATTATGGTCTCAATAACTAATCTCCCACTAACCGTGTTTTCTTTGGCGTTGATCATTCCCACCAACTGTTTTTCATTTATTTTCTTGAATTCATCCAGTTCTGCAATTTTTGCAAAGTTGTTGGAAGCAATTTTATCACATTTCTCTTCGAGTTGTTTCAGATCGTACAACTTCGAGATATTTATGGTGATGAAGTAAGATTTGGGACCCAAATTCTGTTCCAGATATTCAGTGACAATACCACATAATTCTGAAAAAGATTTTTATTAAATTAAAAATAAATCATTAAAAATTACATAATATAAGAAAAAATGGAGATATCCAGTGGTAAGTTTCACCATTATTTAACCCACTATGGCTCTAACCATTTTACCACAAAAATCCGAAGTATGTGAACCAAGATGGCGAACACTGAAACGTAGTATGTGTGCCAGGTTAGGGTTAGGCCTTAATTCCAGGTACAACGGGAGTCACTTGGATAGTCCGCGAACTCGAAATAAAACTAAAATAAGGAAATTGGAATAAAATTATGGCCCGACCCTAACCTGGTACACATACTTTGTACCGGTGACCGCCATCTTGGTTCACATACTTCGGGAGTACCTAAAATCCTTTAGGTCAAGTGGGGCATCCTTTAATACAGGAGGGCCATTAATAAGTAACTTGGTGAACTGGCAGGCCGCACTTTTATTTTACATGGATTTTCTGGTAGATGCAGACACAAAAATGTTGGTCATTGATCTTATGACATGCCTTGTTTGCACACTCTAGTTGTTAAGGCATTGTAAAGTCATAGACATATATAAATTGGACTCGAGTATAGGCTTCGGAACACAAAGAAATTGGAATTACTAGCACGTATAAAAATAAATTAAATCGAAAACTCGTTTAGCGGGCCCATCATTAAAAATTGGCATTTCTCTGCGGGCAGCATGTGATCCACAGGTCGCATGTTACACAGTAGCTCGAAAAGCACTAAGTTGCCAAGTAGTCCCAACAGACAATTTAAGAAGGCTTGCGCAGGCCAACTTGTCCGTGGTAAAATTTAGTTTTAGAGATGGAACCTCACAAAGAGCCTAAATAATTTTATAACCTGGATTTGGGAGCCGGAGTCAGAGTCAAAATTTTTGGAGACTCGTCTTATGAATGGTTTGGAGTTTGGAAATATGTGTAATTTTTTCTCAACTCCTCAGTTTAGGTTTTTATAATTACCGTAAATGATATATATCCACTTTATTGGTTTCAAATAAAGAGTTTCAAGAGAAAAATGAACTCACTTGGTAGTAGTAAGAAATGTGAAGCCTGCATGTATGACGCGACATCAGATGTCTCATCAATGGGGAATTTGGAAGTATAGATATACTCGATAACTTTCTTAATAGTATCCGCACTGAAGCCTTGGATATCAACTTCTCCTGACAGAGTCTCAACAGTCTGAAAAATCATTTTGACAGAAATTGCAGTTGTAAGTATATGCATCACACCATCACTGTCACTTTGTCTCATATAACAAATGCAATTCACTAAGCTATCAGGCACGATGCTATGGGAACCTTGGGAAGATTTCTATGTCCAAGGCAGATCCGTGTGTTGGCCTTCTGAGGTTGAGTTTAAGCCCTGCTTACTCCAGAGTTAATCCAAACCATCTTGACATAGTATACCGTACGTACGCAGATAGGTCGCAATTTTTTCCTTATATTTTTTTTTTAAAAAAATTGTGAAAATTCGTATGGCCTGCGCTTGCGTACGGTACATGCACCTATTATCGCTCAGAGGTGTCGATAAAGATATTTTGATTATATTAAGCCCTACAAAAAAATAGGAAGTTATCTATGCAAAAAAGCTACGCTAGCTATGCAAAAAAATTTTTGCAAGTTTTTAAAATTGATGAATAGCTTTACTAAGCAACATGAATGCTGTCAAGTCTCACGAGGCCCACACATACAAGTAATATTGGGGCAACCCTTCAGTACCAAATTTACTATAAATTTACTTTGGAGTTTTTTTTATTGAAAAAAAAAACAAGTGAAAAACACAAGAAAATTATCAGGCGACCCAGGGTTGGGTTGCGACCAATAGGTTGAGAAACACTGGTCGACACAGTTTATTAAACCTTGGGTGAGGTGGTGGGGATGAGTTTTGATTCCATAACGATCAAGTCATGATTCCAACCTATAAACTAACTATAATTATATTTAAAGGTCGGATATTATGAATATACTAACCTCATGCCGAAACATTAACTTAAAATAATCAGTTGCAGTTGACAAAATAATCTTATGCACTCTGAATTTTTCCGAACCAACTTTGATCGTAAAATCACAATATAGATCAGCTTTCCTGTATCTGAAATAAAAATATATAATTTTAGTATCAACATAATTTTTAGTATGAGGTTTGACTAGACTATGCTTCTACATCCATTGTGTCAACAGCACTCATAGGTTGGGAAAGACTGACCGAGACTGATATCAGGTCAAACAAGCCATGAACTGCAATATCAAGTATTACAGAATTGAGTAAATTATCGATATTTTAAGTTGAAAATATCTCTTTAAAATATTAAATCACTCATCTCTGCTATCCCTACTGTCAACTCTAATATAGGTTAGGGTTTACAAAATTATTCCAGGGAGAGGAAAGCCGATAAAACAGCTCAAACATATGGCGAACCATGGCCTCTCATCCGGATACTAGTCCATGTAGGATATGGGATTAGTTAGCTAGTTATTCTGTTTTCGGAAGCATGTACTTGATGGCGGAGTAAGCGGTAAGCGGCCAGGGTTATGTGAACCACCCCATGGCAACGAGAAGTCCAACAATTCCTTCGTACATACCTATCCCTGCATTGAATTAGACTTGCGAACCCATGCAGGGTAATCAGAGGTGAGTTGACGAGCAGATCACTAATGCTTAGCCAGATGCCCCACCCCGCCAAGCCTGGCATAAATCTAAACATTTCAAATTAAATATATCGGACATTTCCTAAAAGTAACTACATCTGAATAGTACTGTAATATATTCTAGTTTGTTTGGACATTGAAAAAAATTCCGTTGTCTCAGCTGGCTATAGGGAGCTAGCTGTAATATGACCTGGCAAAGCTGCAACTGGTAACTAATTTCTAAACATCAGTATTATAGAAAAGAATAAAAATTAACTCAAAGCAAGATCACTCACTCACAGGCAAAGGGTTCTTACCTCTAGGCAATGTTACAGGCGACAACAATAAATAATATACTAGGCAATGCCCAGTCATGAAGGTTCCAATCCTTTTTAAAATCAGTCGTCATATTTTCTGATCAGTGGACACTTGTGAGGGCTTTGTTTGAGGCAAAAGGCATGGGTACGGGACAAATAAGAAATACGATTTCACAGATTTCAATGTACCGTATCCAACAAAATGGGTTGTCGAAAAGGAGTTGTTTTCAAGTCAAGGACAAAGATATGTTTTATAAACAATTTACAATATTCATTTTTTTCGAGCATAATACCACCATGTCTTGCAAAACGCTATACAAAATGATTTGATTTTCTGTATGAGCGATATCTTTCAGTTGAAAATTTGTCTACGTGTATTTTATTACCGGTACATCAGTATCTTTTTAAGGCAGTAGTTTTATGTTTTCATGGTCAAAATCTAACTTGTATTCATAATTAGCAACATGTCTGCAACCAACCAGACCTGGAATAAATTCCACAGGAATAATATCCAATTCAATATCTCAAAGACCACAGGTATACTTATACAAAACTTTCCCAGACTATAATTAAACAAATTTTTCTTAAGAATAGTGTTCCCCTTTTTAACAATGTTTTCTGACTACACAGTTTCTATAACATTCAATAGTTATTATTTAGTAAACTATACTAAACAAAGTTCCTTATGGTATTTTTCTTTGGAATAGTTTCTGTAGAAAGCACAGTATATATACAGACAAGGTGATTTAAACATGGGAACACTGAATTTTTGTTTGTTGTATTATGATTATGTTGACTTATCAGCTTAGTAAATAGTGAACTCCTACAGCGACTGCTACTATGTAGCCTTATACAAAAAGAGATTTTCAGGTCAGAGACCGTTCATCAAACATAAACAGTCCTCAGTAATTTCGGGACTCGAAATAGTGTTTCTTAATACATAGCTAGACTACTCCATCCAAATAAACTGTGAAAGTCAATGGTTTATTTAGAAATAGGAATCAAAAAATTTCAAAATTTCAGCTACGGTAAATATCACCTAGAGAAGGCAAAGCAATGAAAGTATACTTACGGTTAAGGTGATTCAAAACATGAGGACACTGATATTTTGTTTGCGGTATTATGAGTATATTTTATGGTCTATTAAGTTCACGGCAGTCACTGGAATACCAAGAGTTACTGAAACTATATGATTGTATCAGTGAAATTATAAGATGACTCGTATTCATATTAGGCTAACTTCTAGGTGGACTTTGTCCAGTGATTCAACTCAAGTTCAGACTCAAACATGACCTGAGACTCGGATGGCCCACAAGTGTACTTGTCTACTCAAAAATCAGGGACTAAGTATCAAAATTAAACAAAAACTATTAAATTAAATTCATTAGACCTATCCTGATAATAGTGTTCCCAATTTCAATAACTAGATGTGCTGGCTATACAATTCAAATTGAAGGTACTATTCAATATGTATAATTTGTGAGTTATATCTACCATAATCGCTTATAGAAGAAAAGATATATACAATTATGATAATAACAAAAATAGGAACACTGAATTTTTCCACTTGAATACAATATTCACTTTATATGCCTTCACATTTTTTTTGAAACATTCTAAACATAGATAAACATGAACTTAAACCGAAACAATTTCGAAATGGATAATACTAAACTTGAATCAATGGCTTAGTGGTTAATGCATGGGTCCTAAACTATCTTTAAATCACAAACTAAAAATAATGAGTTGAAATCAGTCCTGGGAAGGCTGGACCATTTGTCAGAGACTCAAAGTGACCTGAGTCAGCGACTCATATGCAACTGACTGTTGGTGAGACTTAGCTCAGTGATTAGGTTGATGTCGAAAATGAAGTTGAACCAAAACTCAGTTAGCCATGGCTCAACTTTGGGTACTGCCGTAGGGCAGGGCTACTCAACTATTTTCACTAAAGGTCCGTTTACAGAACTTCAAAATTACTGGGGTCCGGACATTTCAGAAAATTTATTTCATTATAAAAACGAAACACTATGCTTGATTTCGTAACAGCGTTTTAGATTGACTATGCCATTTACATTTACATTGAATATGCCAACTTTCACGGGCTTAAGAGAGTTGGTGTAAACGATAAAGGTGGCGCGCCATACCTATTAGGAACCCGAGTTGCAATGTGAAAATCTAGGGATAAACAGGTGATATAAAAACGCAGTAATCTGAGTTGGTGCGCCTGATTTATCCACTTGGCGTTCAAAAACTCTGATAGCAGACTAACGCAGAATGTTCAATGCTAATTGTTTATCACTGCAATCAAACTAAAGCCCATGGTAATAATACTGACTATCACGTAATTTGATTTATACCTAAGCCTCAACTAAAAGCTGGCAATGAGAATGTAAAACAAAAAGTAGAGGCTCCGTAAGCCGTCCCTGACAGTCAACATAGGTGAAAATGCGTCTGGTGGGCTGCGAAAAATGTAATTGTTACGACACCTTTATTAAATATCGCTGATTAGCTAATGGTACAGAAGTTGACAAGTACACTAATACTCGAGAAACAGCCGTGGCTCAACTTTGCACTCAGACTCGAATTTGAATTAAGACACGAACAGCCGTGACTCAACTTTGCACTCAGACATGACTCAAGACTTACATAACCAATGACTTTACTTGCGACTAAAGGTTTGGGGACTTTTACCCAACACTGGTCGAACCCCCAGCATTGGTGTGATAACGTTGAGTGCCAGGAATGTTATCATTCCAAGAATAAATGATCCTAATGCACCAACACCTTGTTCGGGTTGAAATTGCTAGAACTAATAAAATGGGTTGCTTTATGATATTTCCGTTCTCTGAGCTTTCCCATCTCATGATATAAATTTATAATTCCTATCCTAAAGACTGGAATTTACTTAAACATCAACCCAAGTTTCAGATTAGAGATCAAAAGTATCAAAAATAAACACAAATTTTCAAATTAATAAAATAATTCCTAAAATGTTACTTTAGTTTCAAATAAATAGAAATAGTCCTGAAAATAGTGTTCATGTTTTGAATAAATAGAAATTCTGATTGTAAATCCTAGTACCATTCCAGATTCCACTTTGTGAACAAAGCAAACTTACTAATAAGTAATGTATTAGTCACCAAAACAACTTCAGCTAGGCGTATGAAAACACTGAATATTTCCACACATGTACAAGGCAATTCCCTGTAACCTTGTATTAGTCAAAGTTACATTACAAGACTTGAATGTCTCAGGAATAGTATTTCCTTTGTAAAAACAATAAATTCCAGCTACACAATCCAACTACTTTGTACCATTCAATATTATTCTTTACAAAGCAACTAAATGTCGTATTTTCTAAAGTATATTCACCACAAGAGCTTTCAATATAACATGATAAACATATAGTTTGATGATTTACAAAATGGGAACACTTAATCAGTAATTAAAAGCAAAGCAAATATCAATTTGTAAAGTACTTTCCACCAAATTGGCTTCAATAAGAACATGGTATGTTACGCCATAACATGTTATGTTTTCACATAAATTCAATCCTCAATCCTTTATCTCAGTCTTGATATTTTTTCCTAAACTTTACAACAACCAAACCATTAAAGACTTTCTCATCCAAAATTGACTGATATCAAAACTGTGGGAATGACAGGCATAGAGACCAAATATATTTTATAATAAATTTTCACAAAGCAAGGTCCTATGCACTAGCTCTGAAATAATGAAGATTGATCTTTGAGATAAGTCGTGGGTAACCACAGAAGGGTTCTAGGAAAATTTGCCACATAAAATTTTTGTTGAAAGAAATCTCGCTGCAGGAATTTCGCAAAATAGGAAAAATCGCCGCAAGAGCATTTTGATGTAAAACAAGTAGTTGTGATAAAAACAGTTAGGTTTTTAAGGTACCATTTTATTACAAAAAATTTGTTATTAAAGAGCCACTTATTTATCACAAATACTGTATTTCCGCGAAAAAAAAACGAATAAGTCGCTTTTCTAGACCCAAATTTTTGGCCAGGTTTTGGGGGGTTTGTCCTATTGGGCGAGTATGATAATTTTCATTTTTTTGGTGTCGCCTTATTATTCAATTCGGACTATAAAATACTTTTGGCGATACTACTTGTACCTGTACTTCATTCCGTGCTAGGGTTTAGCAACAATTTTGCCCCGTTCTTTTTGTTCAGTATTTATTCTATTCACACGGAAAACCAAGGACAGCGTGTTCCCCCGGATATATTGTGAATTTATACCATACTATAAATGTGTTGTGGCTGCAAAATTGGTCAACGTGGTTCATTAAAATTTTGTCAGGAATTTTGTCTTTCTAGATATGGTAACCCTACTTTATATGTATTATTATTAATAAAATGTAATATAATCAGGTAGTTTATCTCACATTATTATGTCCACAGATTACCGTGTTATTTTCGATCGGTATTGTTCTTATGAAACCCATCTTCACCAACAGAAATATAAAACTAAGTACCAAAATCAAGACTCTAAAAGCCTACATATGGTCCATCCTTCTGTACAGATGTAAATGTTGGACGCTGACAAAAGACCTCAAAAGACTTGAAGCAGCAGAAATTTGGTATATCAGACGAATTATAAGAATATTGTGGAGGGAAAAAAAGTCAAACGAAGAAGTAATGGAGAAGGCCGGGTACAAAAGATCCCTAATTAAAACCATCAGGAAAAGACAACTACAATTTTTTGGACACATAAACAGAGCAAATGGGATAGAAAAGCAAATACTGTGTGGAAAGATTTGTGGTACCAAAAGTAGGGGAAGACAACGCACAAAACACACCGACAGTCTGAATAATTACGTAACGAAGAAAGAATCCCCCAACAATGAACTCATCGGGAAAACTAACAACAGATTGGAATGGAAGGCCATGATCGCCGATGTCTGTAACAGACCTGGTACATGAAGATTGTTCTTATATATATGGTGGACGTAATCACGAGTTACGTTGAAAACAGTTAGATTGAAATTTATTGATAGTTTGAATTCACGTAGTTGTTTGGATTGAATATTACGATACAAGAAAAAGTCAATATAGCCTATTTTAACCAATGCGCGAACGCCGTGACCGCCCAAAAGCCTGTTCATGGTAATTTGAGATTTTGATGTTGATCCAAATTTACTACCCCGTCTAATCGGCAGGTTATATGCAAACACCCATTTTTTCAGGCTTAAAAACGGGCCTCGTCTTATTTACCAGGTAGACTTATTCGCGGGAAATACGGTGCTTGTTTCACAGCAAAATGCTCTTGCGCTAATTTTTCCTGCAGCGAGATTTCCTACAGTGCATTTCCTGGACACGCCACAGATACTAACAGATTCTGATATCCTAAAAATAATGGCAAACAAATAGCTTTTTGTTGTTTTGATATGTTTGTTTAAAAGGCATTCTAACTAGTCATGCTTCATTGATTTTCAGAGGTGCAGAAGTAAGAAATAAACCTGATCCTGATAGTAGGGATGTCAATAAACTATTTGCATGGTTTTTAGATTTCAGATATTCAAAATAGATTTATCTAAATATTACCTAAAACAAATTTTAATGAATAACAGGCAATGAAATCTATTTTTTTTACAATTTACAGTATAAGGATTAAATTCTGTACCCTTCTAACCTTATCTAAAGTTTTGTTTGCTCTCCTAATTCCATAATCAGTTTTTATTTATTTTTTTTTATCAATCCTTTTATTGTCTTTTATGCTGATTATGGAGCCATCAATCTAACATACAATTGCAATACAACCGGGTAGTCATTGGAAACCGTTAATGACTCATGCCTCTAAGTATGATACATATCATTAGATGCGCCTCTACAGCCTTATACAAAGAGAGATTGTAAAAACAAATTATAAAAAAAGTTACTAAATATGTAGGCCATCTTATTGACTTTCCTCTCTTTGACATGAATATGACAATTCTACCTTGAAACCTGGAGTTTACTTGGATGTTAATCTAATTTTAGATCAGTGACCAGGTATAAAGGAAACCTGAAAATAGTGTTCCCTTTTATCTTAATAAATATTTGTCTATACAATCCGGTTAAACAGCCTTATTAAATTAATATTCTTTGCATGGCACATTTAATCTGAAATTTGTATGGTATATTCACCAAAATAGGTTATAGAAAGACAAGTAATAGTTATACAGTTTATGTGATTTGACATATGGGAACACTGTATTTTACATAAAAACAATCTTAACTAGGACATTATTTATCTCAGTATTGTTGTTTACTCAATTCTCTCTCATCTTACAAAAACCGAACTTTCTCAATCATATTGGATAAATATCAGAACTGCAAGATTAATAAATCCCAGTAAGTCAGAAAATGAAAACTCAAAAAGATAGAATAAAGTTTCATATACGTAGGGTTACCATATTTTCGTGACTTTAAATCGAGACGCCTCGAAAGACAATGACCCCTTAGCTGTGATTTTATAACTTCACATTTCCCGATTTTACTACATAGGCCTACATTTCTACATTTAAAGCTGTCTTGGCTATTTTTTTTGACCATGCGCATATTCTCTGTCAAAATATCGGGTTCAGTTCGAAAAATAGGAAGGAATTGACGTTAACGATACCGGTACAAATAATTCGAATTTAGACTAATTAGTATTGGTTTTACATGCTATACGTCTGCCATCAATGAGAATCAGCGGCAAACGAATGCATTCACCTTCAGTAAGTAGGCTAGCGCTGCACTACACAGAAACAACAGTAACGAGAACATGTTTGTGTATTATGCTGGAAAAGCGGGACTTTTGGCTGACTTATCGGGACTGCGGGACAAAACGCTGAAAAGCGGGGCTGTCCCGCCTAAAGCAGGACGTATGGTAAGCCTACATATACAGTAGGGATTCTACATATTGATGGCCTACATATTTAGTAACTTTTTTTATAATTTGTTTTTACAATCTCTCTTTGTATAAGGCTGTAGAGGCGCATCTAATGATATGTATCATACTTAGAGGCATGAGTCATTAACGGTTTCCAATGACTACCCGGTTGTATTGCAATTGTATCTACGAAAGGCTCTCTATACAAAAATTCAGTTTTCAAAAATTCCTTTCATAAAAACATTGCTTTGACCAATGTCAGATTTTCTACATACAAAAGGCCGGATACTTGAAAAACGTGAGCACTATTATTTGCCTTTTTTATATTAAATTCAATGCAGTGCTCAAGGTCTACTTTTCATACCGTTATTATTATCAAAAATGCTCTGAAAGTTGAAAAGTATATACAAGAAACTCAGTAGTCTGATAGCTGTCTATGACTGTAGCTTGCATTACCATACGGCAGTGGTGTCAAACTCGTGGGTTTTTGCCGGCAGCATTGCATTTTGGGAATTGTGCCGAGAGCCGCAAACAGTTTTTGCTCAATTTTAATGATATTGTGACGCAATTGAACAATGAATGAATCTTTTTATTTCCTAAATTCAAATTTCATTTACATATCAATTTCTTGAATTTAACTATTATTGTAATTCACTAATTTATTACAAAAAATGCAAGTTCTTATTGTTTACGACTATCCGAAAACATTATTGAACAAACTTTGGATAAGAAAAGAACAAAAGAATAATACATACACTAAAAATGATATAATATGAAAATATAGACCTAAAATTTACAAAATACAGAATAAACCCAATGTTTACTATTGGGCATGACTATTCTGACTAATCATGCACATTAATTCTCAGAGATACAGAAATAGGATTGAAACTAAAGCAGACCTGACCCTGATGTTATAGATGTCAAATTGTCAATATACGAAAAGTTTGGTTTTATAAAATATTTTCTTGCAATAGTTCTAACTTCAAGATTCAAAATGAATCTAACTGGCTCACTTAACTGATGACCAATTTTATTTCGCTGCCAAGTATGTCAATACCTACGAGAATAGCCCTCACTTTGAAAGATATCAATTATAACAGTTGAATGCAAACCTCTCCTTTACGAGACAGTCTGGGACTCCCTATCAGCAATCTGGCACTGCGAAATAAACCAAAAGGAAGCGCAATCTAATAATGTCACCATTGGATTCCTTGGAGGATTACCAAAAAAAAAATTTTTTAAAAAAGCATTCAAGAGTTTTTAGCCTAACCTAGTGTTGAACATAGAATGCAAGCTTGTCTCGTTGATTTGATAATGATTTAATTCAATCGTATTGTTAACCACGACCAAAGTTTTTTTTTCAGCTAAAAATTTCAGAACTCTCGGTTAATTTTTCTTTCTGGTATTTTTTTCGAGAAATCCAATGATAACGTTTTTAGTTTGAACTTTCTTTCAAGTTTATTTAGCAGCGCCAGTTTGCCAATTTGTGCCAATATGGACTGTCTCGTAAAAGATGGGTTTGCTCTCACTGTTATAAATTGATGTCCTTTGATGTGGGGGACTATTCTTGGAATCTGAAGTGATGATTGCAACAATTATTTTGAAATACAGTAATTATTTGTTAAATTTGAATAAGCAAACAAATATGGATTAAAATAATACAGTACCGGTAGCCGTTTCAGCAGGCAGGCAAGACTGTACTGCCGTACTGGTAGTCTAACAAATTGATATAAAAACAACTTACTCATTAAATTCGGCAAAACAATCTTTAAAATATGTATTTTCTTTAGAATCACTCATGTTTGCCTCTGTTTTCTTGTATTAACACCAAACGGAGTTGAGGAATTGGCCAGATAAACTAGATTTTGTATCCCAAAACGATATAGGTATGGTAAGCAGAACTCTCAGCTTTGAGGGTCACTGAGGTTGTGGCTGGAGATACTGTCCCAAATCCGAATACAGCTTTAGAGGAATTTATTCTGAATAATCTGGCTCTTATTAACCAACAACCAACCAACTCTTAGTGAACAGTTGTAAACAAAAACAAACAGGAGGAAAATCCCTGTTAGTACGTGACAATGATTCTGTAAACAATGCTAATCATAGAGAATCGGATTACTGGAGTCGACAACCGGTTTCAATTCAAAAAATAAAGATCGAGCCTTCGACAGAAACATTAAATTTGAGTCAAACTAGCAAATGCTAAATGGGTAAATTAAATGTTGTAATGTACTGTTAACAACAATGTGGCTATGACTCAAGTTATATCGTCATTCAAAAATCTGTTGGCGAGAATGACGATTGAAATTATCCAATGATTAGTTAGAATCAAACTCGACCTCGGCCCGTTTTCTTTTCAATTAGACATTTGTAGTAACAGTAAAAATTAAGGCAGAAAATGTGAAGGATAGACCGATTCAGTGTCTGGCCTTAATCAAAATGCCATCTCTGTATGCGGTGCCACAGTTATTCGTGAAATTTGTGACTCAATATTAATATATTTGTTTGGTGCAGAGGAAGAATCAAATTTAAAGTAAACAAGCTGGATGAAAAAATGAATTGCAACTGCAAATTAAAATATATCAAATGAATAAATAAATGCAAAATAAATATCCATCCTAAGCCAAAGTATATACAACCTGTTAGGCCAGACTGGATTCCATGGCGGGTGCACGCCCGAGAGCGCTAGCGCTCCGCAAAAATACACACGAGCGAATTCAAATTTGCACGCAGAAAATTTGCAATTGCTCACCAATGAAAATCGGTTTAAATGGTTTTCAAATCAATAATCCAGTAATATAAAGATGCCGACGAATAGGAACTCCATAATTGTCGACCAGTTGCACAGTTTGGCCTGATCGAAAAATGCGAAGCAAAAAAGACCATATCGTGTTGGATGATAGGAATCTTGTAAGAAAAGTTATGGGTGAAAAGATCGCCTCCTCACCGACGCTGGTCAGTTATGGCTATGATTCAGCGTATTTTTTATACAATAATTTTACACGGATGCACTGAACAGTACCGATATCTAAAGTCGCACAAACACTCTCAAAATTTTTTTATCCAATACGGATAATTTTACGCAGATGTATTGAGGGGAATCTAATGTCGAAGTCAGTTGCACGCGGACGCAGTTGTTTTGCACGCCGTGAGCTATAATCGCACGCCAGAAATTTTTATTTGCACGCAGAAATTTCTGATTGCACGGCCGATTTCTCGTTCAAAAAGCTCATGAAATCCAGACTGGCTGTTAGGGGTACGGTGATGGGATAATGTTCTGTACAAATTCTGAGCTGCTTTGAATTTTAGTTAGACGGTAAATCATCTGCTGTTACCATATCAAGTTATTTTTTGCGTGATTCCTTTCCATATTATAAAATATTCCTTACAATTCGCAACCAACATGCCTCAGTTATACCGTAATGTTCTGTACAAATTCTGAGCTGCTTTGAATTCTAGTTAGACAGTAAATCATCTGCTGTTACCATATAAAGTTAATTTTTGCGTGATTCCTTTCCATATTATAAAATATTCCTTACAATTCGCAACCAACATGCCTCAGTAGGCTACAACTAATGTGACTGACTATTACCACCAGCTTCGGTCGCTACTGACAATGAGCTCCATCCTTTTTTTAGCATTTTTTGTTACGGTTCATGAACGCACAGTTGAACCCCGTGAGGGCACTGTCTCGTTTACTATTACTCTGGTGATATTTTGTTTTTCTGTTAATTTTTAGTGATTAAATTCTATAATTTCTTCTCATCATTCCCTCTTAAACTTCAGCCACCAGGTGTCGATGACTCGATGACTGTCACAGTCTTTCGCGATCCCTTATCGGGAGTTTTCGAGTGGAGCGAAGGAAGTTGCATCGGTATGAATCCTTACTCTACCGTTTTAAAAAATGGCTTCAAAGAAAAGATAGGTAAACCACCAGAAAAAAAAAATGTCTCGTCCATGTTGTCTGCAAATGAAATTTACGAGAGATATAAAGATTGAAGAAGGACTGCGTGTAAAAGCTAAAAATATAATACTGAGCGCGATTCCAAAAGAGAGCGTTACGTTACATGCAAAACACGCCAAGGAGTGCTTGCTTTAGAACAGTACTTGGAAAAACAGCAAATACCACATATGAGCTTTTTCCTGCAACAACGTGAAATGATTAAAATAGACATAGCATGGGTTCCAGGACACATTAAGGAAAAAGATGTAGAACAGGAATTGAAGAAATATATCGTTTTGAAAACAAACGTTCATTCTTATAAACTGAGAACGGAATAGATAATTGGTGTATGTTTACCAAAGTGGGAAAAAAAAAGAGTTGGAGAAAAATACATTACCCAGTTACATATCAGTAGATGGTTATACTCTGCTGGTAAAATACTTTGGACAAAAGAACACCTGTAGACTATGTGGAGATTTATCTTTATTAGCCATAGCCACTGAATATATAATATAATAATAACTACAGCCCACGAGTCCAATGCGACCAACAGATATGGTGAAACTGCAGCAAAACGCTGGGAACTCGTGTGGGCGTTAACGAATCAAGTTGCCGCAATGGAGCGTATCGCGTCAGACACTTCTCATTGGTCAAAGCTTTAGTTGCGCATCATAGTATGTTAGTCGTTGAGAATTATTAAGCGATCGGTTCCCGATAACTAATGGCAATAAGTGCGCCTCAAAAATTAAGAGAGTTGTGATAAATATTACTTAATATATGATTGAATATTTTACATAGTTTATTCTGAATGCTTCCTTTTTTATATGTTTTCAAACGATGTGTATATGAATCAATAACAATTTTACCTTTGTTACGTTGGGTCCATTGTTACGTAACAGTAGATGTAAACCCTTGCTGCAATTTCGTATGCCGCAGTTTATTCATTTGCTTAACCGAGTTTAGCTAACATGTGTGATTTAGTTTACCATTTTAAAGGAAAACCAGGCAGTGATAAGGAAGAGGAGATAACCTTTTACCTTTATTTTTTAGACCTACATGTTTATAAACTTTAAAAGGCATAAACAACAAATTAACGATCACAAAATTTTATTCAGATTTATTCAGATTAGGTGCGTCATGAGTTTTTCCTGATAAATTTGCGCCACACGAACCGCTGCCTCACGCCAAATTTGATCATTAAGAGTGAGTAACAATGCGGCAAAAAACAGTCGCGCCCATCACAATGTTGAGTGAGGTTCATCTGAATAAATGCGTGTTTGTTTTTGTTATCGAATAGGCCCACTAAAAGATAAAAATTCAATGTGTCATTAAAATATCAAAAATGTAAATATCGAACTGTTTAGCATTATTAACGTGAGCAGCACGTCCATATTAAAAACAAATTGTGTCTGCATCTATTTGAAAGCCTATGTTTGATAAAAGCGTGGCCCGCAGTTTCACAGAAGTATTTGTTTTTGGCTCTCCTGCGAAAAAGGTTGCCTGATTTAAATAATTATCTCGGGGGGCAGTAGGGTCGATAAGAAGATTTGATTATATGGTGAACCTTGGCCTCCCCTGTTACCAATCAGGCGTTGGGTTACATTATCTAGTCATTTGTTTTATTTAAATAGACTTAATAGCGTTAGAATCCGTAACCAACAAGTGGTTATGTGAGCCACCCTATGGCGCCGAGGAGTCCAGTGTTTCTCTCGCACATAATATTCAACCACAGGATTTAACGCACGCAGGGTAATCAATCAGAGGTGCGAAGAAGAGCGTTAGCACAATGCGCTACACTGCCGAGCCGCATAGGGTACGGTATAAAAACCCTAATTCACAAAAAGATTATGCGGTTGCAGTCCAGACTAGTGCATACAGTACTGACATAGTACACTCAGGACACCATTACAAACGAAGATGGGAATTTTGAACTTTTAATTTATTAGTATTAAATACATCAGATTATCAAAAGTAAACACATAAAATTTCCACAGCGGAAAATATTAATTATGCTACAGCTGTTAATTATTAATTTGAAACACTAACTCATTTAAAAAATACAATGGCATATTTGAGAATTATAAAATATCTTCAAAAATAAAAGGTTTCGATTGTTACATTGTGGCCCCATAAGAGGCAATCGTTTCTATATTGCATACAAATCCTGGCACAATTTCTACCATTTTTCATGTAGGCGAGAGAGATTTGAAATTATTTCGAAAACATGTCTTTTCATGAATCTTGATTGGCAGTCCTATTAATTCAAAAATTATAACTTGAAGCACCGGTATTCAGATTAGAATAGTAGCAGAGGGAACATTTGTATTTCACTGATACGGCATCGATGAAAAATTTAAAAACGTTTTTTCGAATAAAAAAATTAATTCAATTTAAATTGACTGTCTATACGAGAATTGCCTTAGAAAATCTATTCAACTTTAACATATAACTCATTGCTTTCGACAACAGAAAATGCATATTTGAGAATAAAGCCATTAAATTTTAATTAAGACAACTATTTCAAGGATGGACATAAATTTAGGTGTAGTATCTATAACTTCATTATAGGCATATAGGAATACTTGCATTCATGGAAAGTAATTCAGATGATATGGGACTGATGTTGAAATTCTATATTACTGGCGTATTATAATCTTAGACTGAATGATATCGCAACAACAACAATATTATATGAGAATTTTTACAAACTAACCCATTTAATTTAACTTGAAGTTAATTCAGACCATGTCGAACTAGAAATTTTTTTCTATATAAGTATGGGGGACTCCCACGAATAAGATTGATTGTTATTGTAGAAGTAAACAGAATACACACAAGAAATCTAACAAACGGTGGAAACAAAAATCAGAGAATAAAAAAAAAACTATTTCCGCAAATTGAATGGGTTTCATTATATCAGGAATTAAAAAAAAAAATCAGGGTATGTAAAATTAGATTTTTATATTTATCCCAGTAATTAAAAATAGAGCCCAAGTGTAAAATATTGCAAACCGAGTAGCCCTTAGCCTAGTCCAGGGATTCCTAACCTTTTTCGTTCGATTCGTCCCTTTCTTACTTTGGAACTCTGTTTTTTCTCCCTCGCTATGCAGAAATAGTAATTTAATATTTTTTGCGATATTCAAGGACTGATTTGAAATTAAAATTTCAACAGAAAGAATATTTGAATGACCAGCAAAATACAAAATATAAAAATGATAAGTCATAGTGATTGAAGTGAAGAATTAGGAGCTGTGGAACGTTTGAAAGTCAATATAGTTGCTACGAATATTCACATGGCTTTTATATTCACTGACCCCATTATATCGAGGTTCATATCTTTAGGAATGTCAACCATCACCCAGGTTTTCTTTTCGGAATCGTATTTCTCCATGGTTTTCCTTGAACTAAAAGAAAGATAAGAACAAACATAATCTACAATACTATAAATAACTACAGGCTTCAAAATTTTTGAAGACTCGAGACAAAGACTGATTTTATAATGATCAAGTCTGTTTAATTTGCCATTTCCAAATCCATATGTGGTTCTCAAATGGTGGGTGGTGCCCCACAATCGCGTAGAGGGGGTATGAAACTAAATAAAAATAAGACTTTGTTAGATTTGATCTCCTTCTATTAATATTTATATTCCCCCCAAATAATTTTAACAGGATTTTTTAAAAAAAAATTTTTTGCCTTATTATCTGTTATTTGTAGCTTGTTGTTAGCTAGGTATTTTTGAGGTGAGGCGCGAGATTTGACAAATTCTGAAAACATGCGCATAAAGCATTCCGGATAAATCATGGATTTGAGCATTGACTGCTTGACCAACGTTAGTTCGAACCGGTGCTATGGAATCTGCTGGCCATCATGCTCAGGTTGAGTGAGTTATCAGGCCTATGAGGGAGCTATTTGTGACAAGATCCCTCTTTTCGAAGTCCTGGCCACGCATATGTAGATGGGAGTTATGAATTAAATTTCAAGTATTTATCAGAGTCACTGTAACCTCATTATTACCTTTATCACGCAATTACGATGAAAATTTAGTATCTTCGCAACTGAATGCAATGTGATATAATAATGATATAACTATACATACCCATATCCACCTACTGCATAAATGTTCCCGTTGAAAACAAAGCTATTGAGGAGGCGACGAGTCGATATCATTGGTGCAAACATGGTCCAGGAATTGGATGATGGATCGTATGTTTCAACATTTTTCAGATCCTGCCCCCCATTGCATCCACCTTGTATACAAAGAAGTAAAAGTGTGTCAATATCTGGAAAAAGCTAAGTCATTCATTTGTAAGCCAAACATCCAAAATATTAGCTTTTGCATGTACTCAGAAGATATATCTCATAAATCATAGGTTTAGATATAAGCTTAGTCCATATGTGACTGGGGAGTTGGATGAATATTTTTGTGTGAATATAGTTCTGTATGAATACCGGCACTGAGCTAGTAGATCTAAAATACCAGATATAAGATTAATAATCTTCACCTGCTTTAATAAAATTATCCGACAAAACAAGCAATTTTGATTTTGGCAAAAATATACCAATTTATTGTTTTTCGATTCATATATTAGCAAGAAGTGTCATAAAGCATTAACTTATATTTATTCAACTGTTATCATAAATTCAACCTATAATTTTGTCTAAAATACAGGTTCCATTAATTCTTGTTGAAATATAAAAAAGTTACCATTTGACTTTGTAATTAATTATTTATCTTTTAGCACGTCATTCAAAGGAGCATAAAATAAATCAGATGTAACTGGGGCGTTCGTAAAGCATTTTGCTACTCAAATGGTTTGTTTGAATCTTGCTATGCCTTCGTCTAGAGCAGTGTTTTCCAAACCGTGTGCCGCGAATTTTCACAAAATTCCTGAGATTTTATCACAATAATTAACACTGCAACATGAACTTATTACATTGCAATCAGTAATGGGTGTAGTTCGGTAACACACATATTTAGGGTGACTCAAAAAACGGCACCCAGTCCATTTGGAACATATTGCATGAGTTCAATTTTTTGGGGGCACCCTGTACAAAGATTTATTATTCTATGTCCACCGAGACGTGGTGTAATATGCCACACTTCTCTAATATCTGAATATATAGGGCTTTTTAAGTTCTCTACCCCAACCTAACAATGCAAGTTTGCTCGAAGCAAAGTCGCTAGACTTTAACTAAACAATTTTTTCAGCAGTTGAGAAATTGAAGAGACTTGGAACATCTGGCGCCCATCAACAGCTTAAACCTAACAAAAAGTAAAATTATCGAATGCCAGATAGAGTAGATGAAGTGAAGTGGTTGGTATGAGTAAAACTGAGAAGTGCGAACCAAAACCTAGAAAACCAATCTAAAGCTTAGTCAGATTTTTATCATCTCATTGTCATCAAGTTAGGTGACAGCATAATATAGCAAGGTATCAATATACTTGTGCCTTAGACCAGGGATGCGCAAACTGCGGCCCGTGGGTCAACTGCGGCCCGCAAAACAAACTAGTGTGGCCCGCGAAGAAGTGACAATTTTGAATGAAGTTTTACTTGTAATTGTCTCAATCCGTTCCAACCCCCAACAAATTTTGGATACACTATTTGTATAAATTATAACAATGGTTAAAACTTGTATCAAATACATGTTGAAATTAGATTACTGCATAATAAATATATGAGTACACATGGAAAGATAAAGAAATATCGAATAAAAACTATGAACTGTACATTTGTTTACCTTCGGCATTGGCCAACCAAGCCAGACTAAACGAAGACCGCGGAGAGTGGGAGGACGGCGTGATCGGAGGGGGCAAAAGTTGACAGGTTAGAGCAGTGGTCGTCAAACTTTTTGAGACGCGACCCCATTTCAATAATTATGACGTATGATAAGCTTGTGACGCCAGCTTGGGGCGCAAGATGCTTTCAGGGGGGGGGGGGGCGGGGGGCGCTAAAGGTCACAAAATCGAATCGGAAATTTCCATGCAACGGCATCTAAAAACGGTCTCCGCGTTGTGTTAAAAATTCCGGCTTTTTCACATTTTAATGAATTTTTCTCTCTCGTAATATTCAATCTATGACAACTACAAGAATTCAAAATGTCTCTATTTTAACGACAAAAAACTCATTAGCGATCTAAAATACCACGCCAATTTGCGGACATAATGATGTGATAATAATAATAATCAATCAATCAGTAATAATCAACTGTTGGATTATATTTAGTTTTGATATATATTGCGCTCATGCGAATTCGTTATCGTCGTTCGAAAGTTCTGGTGTAAAATCCCAGAAAGTATATTAAATTTAGTACAATGAGAATACATGTAAAGTTTATTAGTAAATCAAAAATATATATTTATCTCCCCGAAATTCCGCAATACGTCTTTTGGGTCAGTCGATGAGATTACGCCAATCGTTAGAAGAGCCGACTTCTCCAACGGATATGTAATAGTTTTTGTGATGGTTGAATAAAATATTAGATCCATGACCGATATACATATTTAAAATGGTTGCTTTATTTATTTAATTGTAAATAATTAACTTTGATGAAATAAAAGCACCCCTACCCCAAATAACCACCGCAATCCGTGGACATAAAAATGTGTTGTAAACTGACAGATTGCATTTTGTTTTGATTCATATTCTTGCAAATTAGACCAATATGAGCTTTCGCTGCAACTCTTACTCCGCGCCATTGCAATGGTGCCACTCGATTGATTTTCAAATATCATTGTTAGAGAAATTCCCAAGTTTGTGATAAAATCCCACGGTGGAAAATTTATTTCAAGTCGGTAGTTTTAGAACATTACAGGTGTGCCGCAGGCACAAGGTGAATGGCGAAGTTCTACCCCGATGCGTTTTATGCCTAAACCATCATAGCAATGACAGCAAGGAGACCAACACTCTTACAGCGCCATCTTAATACAAAGCAACCAGCCCATCACAAAAGCAAATTTTTAAAGAAAAAAAAAGGGGGGGGCGCGAAGTTTGTAAAAATTTTCAAAGGGGGGCGCGACTCAAAATGTTTAAGAACCACTGGGTTAGAGATAACTTGATATATAAACAAAAATGAGCACACACACATAAAATTCATAATTTCCCATTTTTTATATTTCATTTTGCTTTTGTTTTAACTGCTATCAATATTTCACTGAATTTTGCTAGAAACACATTGTACATGCCCACGGTAAACAAATGGGCCAGTGGAATGGCTGATTTATCGCCGTGCAGCACACAGCTGCCTTCGAATTACAATGAAAAATATTTGTAAAATCTTTTAAATCAAAACATGGTCGGCATTGCTAGCATATGTGCATCATATTTAGTATTCTTATAAACACGAAAAACGATATTCGAAGTTTGCGATAATGCAACATCCCTTCTTCAAGCATTGCATTAAATTACCCTAAAATGAACAAATATCACTACATTCTATTTTCAAGTTTCCGGCCTTTCGTGTGTAGAAAATCATACATTGGTCGAAGCAATATTTTTACAAGAAGAATTTTCATAGTTGGATTTTTTGTATTCTAGGTGCGGCCCGCGGCTTCATCCACTTATTAGTAACTAGCCCTCCTGTAATATAGATTTGATACCCCTGCCTTAGACCACAAAAGCTTTTCATGACCATGCTATGTTTGAAAATGAGCTTTCTGTCCAAAAGGCAGATAATTTTGTGCCATTCAATGAGGAAATCTGAGAGAATTTTTACTGCCCTTGCTCTTTTGCCTCGTCAAGCGTATCTAAATATCCCTTTTCTTCATTAATAAGTATTGTTTGGAAAGGAATGGGAATTCTTTACTTATTTACAGTAATTTGGACTTTTTTCAATAAATATAGATTTTGATACACCAGAACTAGTTTAGTTTCATCATTACTTATGGCCTTCACTGTGTAGTGAGTACAAAATGTAAAAGCACACACTGGTAGGATAAATCAAATGTGCGTTGCAAATTGCAATGTTAAGTTTTTAAACTCTACACAACGTTTGGAACTTTTAGAATCTAAGCCTGTTGGGAAAAAAATTTGAACTCTATGTTATCTAGACTTGAATGAACTTATACAACTCACCAAGAATATAAAGGCGATCCTGAAATTCAACAGCAGCTGATTTTCTTCTGGCATTCAGCATTGGTGAAATGAATCTCCATTTTGATGTATTTCGATTGAAGCATTCTGCTTTGTTGGTTGCACTTGATCCTTCATATCCTCCCAAACTATAAATGCTTCCTTCAAATTCAAACCAATTAATTTTGGCTTCAGAATGACAGCTGAACATTATATTGAAATTTGGAATAAGAGTAAAGCCATTAAATCTAGAAACATGTTCTGAAAGTTTGGTCAAAGAAATGTATCAAGCACATGTTCAACATTAAAAGCTTAATCAATAACACAAAGCATTC